CAGTGGGGGGGGGTTGTTTAAATTTGTTAGTCGCGCTTATACTTTCACACTGTATAGAGTAAACCAACCGTAGCAAAAGCAGTTTACTTAATCACACCGTTAGCACTAATTTCATCATTTAATTACAATTTTAGAATTTTAAGATCCACAAATTTTTTATTTTTATTAGAATTGCGCAAAGGAAACTCATTTTGAATTTAAAGAATTAAACAAATTTAATTGACCAATGCAATTTTTCAAAATTATCAGAGTTCACACTTGAAAAGCCTACATATGTGTTAATACAATCTATACGAAATTAGAAATTAATTTATTAATTAACGGCCTTTTAAAGAACTTTTTTAAATATTACAATTTATTTTGAACAAAACCTTACAATTTCGACCGGCCATGGGAGTTACCATAAAAATGTCATGTTAGCCATTTTGACGTTGACTGAACACAAATAGACAAACAAACACTGATCATTTTTATCCATTCATGTATTTGGCTTGTTAGTTGGTTTGTCTGTTGTTTATTTGTTTGTTTGTATCCAAACGGCTGAACCGAATGGGCTCTAATTTGTGTGGTTCCTCACATGAAATTAAATAGTTTTGCTTAGCAAAAAAATGTCGATTAAAAATGTTTTGGAAGTGGGAAAAAATTCTGAAAATCTCCGAAATTTTAATTTTTTTCAATGTGTAAAAATGGCAGCTTTTAAACAACATTTAAATGCTAATAAAATCACTAGAAAAAAGCGCTCTGAAAGTTAAGTAAGCCATTAGCAATGCTATATAGTTAATTAAACTATTTAGCTATATAGGTAGTCGGAAAAATAATAAATTTAAACTATCTATTCATACCTTTAAGGATAAACAATTTATCTAGATTTTGATAATATTAATAAAATTGTTATATCTATATTTAAAAGAATAAATGATATAGACTGTAAGACAATTTTGACATAAGGTTCTTGAAGTTTTATTAGCAACACGAATGAAGCCAATGTTAAGAATTTATACATTCATATATATACAATCATATAATTACAATTTTAAAGTAGATCCTGTTTTTTTACTGGTTGTAAAATTGTTCACTGTACAATGCAATCCGATAATGTATAATGTGAAAATATAATAGTCTACTCTGCATTTATATGTTTCAAGAATTTTTGCACGGTGTACATCTTTTTTTTTAATATAAAATGAATTGCAACTAAATTTGTTCTTCTCCCCCCCCCCACCCCGCCGCTCTCTCGCTCTTTTATAGTTTTATTATAAAACACCCTGTGAATTATTTTGAAATTCTTTATTAAACATATCAGCTGGATGAGCTGGATATATTATTACAATGTTAGGAGAGATCACTAACCACAAATTAAACATGTCAAATCTCTGATAATTTATAATCGAAAAATATTAGAAAAAACCCGGTTTATTTATAGAATGGACGTTTGACTTTGCTGTTAATACAATTTTGGATGTATACTAAATTATTTATTTTTACGAAGTATACATGCAGTAATATTTGTTATTTGGTAAATTTGGTGTAAATCTGTGTTTTTTGATCTAACAAAATTATAGTTTGAAATATATAGTATATCTACCACATAGATGGGGTTGCATGTTTTGCTTTTTGCTAATATTGATCATGTACTGATGAAATATGAAATCTGACACTCCCCCCCCCCCCTCATAAAAAAGGTACAACCTGTTGTGACTTTCTATCTATCATAGCCCAAGCTATTCTGAAATAGTATAATCACGGAAGGGTGTCCTTTTTCAGAAGATTTTATTTGAGAGAAACAAAATAATATTAAACATCATTGAATTTTATTTTCAGAAAGGTTTAAAAGATAAGAAAATCAGTGCGTGCTTTGTGAAAATGTAGAAAGAATGTCAAAACTGCTGAGGTAACGGATGAGTGCACTGATTATGTACCGCATACTTTTATCACGTTTTACACCTTCAATTACGTAAAATATGTAATATTAAGCTTAACATATTATAAAAAATGAATTTTCATTATTTTAGTAACAAGATTTTTCTAATTCTAAACTTGATTATAAATTTTGACTGGTTCTCAAATGAATCTATAAAAATGAAACTCTTCTCTCATATATATATATATATATATATATATATATATATGATGTTAGCTATAGCTGGCCAAACGTAGACCAAATTGGCTGATTTTTTTCTTCAAAAGCTAAGTGATTTTTTTTTCAAAAATCGATTTTATTTTCTTCAAATATGAAATATATTTTTTTCAAAAGTGTTTTCAAACTTGAACGTGCAACGCCGGGCACGTCAGTTAGTATTTTAAATTATTGTAATTTGCTGATACCCGGGTGTCCCAATAAATATTGGAATTGAGGAACAAATTCGAGTTCGTCTTTGTTAAGAAGTAGCAGTGTAAAGACCTGATTTTAAAAGTCTTAAAACTGGGCATGGGTTGACCACAAAAGATGAAAATTTTTATGACGTCATGAACATGGTATATTAAATTATTTGGCAAAGATAGAAAAATGTGTGCGCAGGGTACTAGGATTTTTAGAAAAAAAGACGGTATAAATTCCGTACAGTCGTCTCTGAAGTCTCACCCTTTGTGGGTTCCCCTGTATAGTCTGCTAGAGTTTATTTCATGAAAAGGCTGTATATCAATACAAAAACGAAAATTTACGAATTATGCAGCTTTAAAAAAAAAAATAAAAATAAAGACTATTTTGAAATTGTCAAGGAATTCCAATATTTATTGAGACACCCTGTACTATAAATATTAGAAAATATTTAAAATATTAAGTTTGATCTACTCAGAGGAAAACATTTATTTTCACTAGGCTATGTATTCTGTTATGTTTGATGTACAGTATCATTCATGTACAAGGCCTGCAGTACACTTTCCATTCTCCTCATGTACTTCCCATCCCACATCACGTAGAGCTACCTCCCTTGTTGTACAATTTCAGTCCTCATTCTTGGTTTTATTCTCACCCTTTCTTGGAATACCCGGATAGGCAGGTAGACAGGTAGACAGGTAGACAGGTAGACAGGTAGACAGGTAGACAGGTAGACAGGTAGACAGGTAGACAGGTAGACAGGTAGAGGTAGACAGGTAGACAGGTAGACAGATAGACAGGTAGACAGGTAGACAGGTAGACAGGTAGACAGGTAGACAGGTAAACAGGTAGACAGGTAGACAGGTAGACTGGAAGATATGTAGACAAGTTGACAGGTAGACAGGTAGAAAGGCAGGTATTTTATAGGAAATCATTATAAAAGATTATATTTAATTAATCAGTTTCTTCTAGGTTTTGTTGTTAGATCCTCCATCAATAAAACAACTTCCTTTCAGGTTCAAATAAAATTTTGATTAAAATATTATTAAGTATCGAAGTGAATATTAGGGTAATAAGCATAAAAGTCAAACAGGAAATCATTTAGTAGTTCTTGCTAAGGTTTGGAATAGTTTTTGGATTTGTTTTCAAAGAGTTTAGAATTTTGGCTTCGCAACAATTAGTAAACCCATAGGCATCGTAATTATTAATCACATTTTTCAATATATTTCTTGCGAGCTGTAGTAAGTTATGGATTACTCAAAAAAATGTACTGACTCAAACTTTTTGAGTCTACTTAAAGAGTATACTTTATGCAAAGATGCCAATGTCGGATTCACAACGGTACCCCAAAAGCTTTGTCTGATCAAGGATAAATTACATATCATTTTTAATAATTTTGAAACCTGATTATTATCAATTGTGAATTCTTTATCAAAGTGAATATTAAGTGAATATACGGAATTATCAGAATTAAAACTTTTAGCCTAAAAAAACAACAATATCTTCCACAATATTGATCAGAAAGGTTTTAAGGGAATCTTATTACGGAGGGTCACTTGAAATTACGTCTACATGCCCCTTTTTTTACAAATATCTGAAGGAAAAGGCAAAAGTTAAAATAGTTTTTTTTTCAGATTTGTAAACATTGACTTCAAGCCTCATTCAGCACCTGGATCATTCAAAGCATCAATTCATCCAGCTTTTGATAAAAAAGATAAAGTTATTGTAGAAAATACAGAGAACAAATTATTCAGCAAAATTGAGATACCAAATCATGAGTTTGATAACGATTTTAGAGATCTTAGTGATCTGAAAAAGGAATATCTTGATGATAATGAAAATGAACTTGATGAAAAAGATGAAGATTATAATGACTCCAATGATGATATTATAAACAAAGTTGATGATTTAGACTCACACAATAACGATGTAGACTTTATTGTAGATCTGCAACGAAACACTATAGATGATATTGAAGAAATATTTGAAGATGGTTACGAAAAAATCGAAAATGAGGAAAATTATGATGATACATTTTCCATGAAAAATGAAGAAAATTATAAGGATGGATGGAAATGGTTTGAAATAAAGGAACAAGAAGAAGAAAAACCCCTAGTGGAGAAAAACAAGAGCAAAGATTCTGATGAAAGTTATGAAAACGGATGGGTTTGGTCGGATATTTTGAACTACGATCAAGATCAAGATAATGAAAAAGATCATGAACAAGAAGTGCATAGAGAGTCTATTTACACAAACCAAGATCATGAGAAACAAAATATGGGACAAGATCAGGAAAAAGATCATTTGGAAAAAGTTCTTGGCGAAGAAAATCGAAAGATAGCCAATTATGTGGAAAAAGAGCATGAAGGACACGGTTCAAAGAACCAAAATTACAAAAAATCTGCATCAAATAAAAATCAACTTTTTCCACTTCTTCAAGGTTCAACTCTTCCTCCCCCCGCCACATCCATCTGGAATATCAAGTAAGGATAAAGAAGAAAAATTCAAACATGAGATATACAAAAATTTGTGAAAAAATTTGTTTAACAAAATTGTGCCTGTTATTATTAGCTTTAGATTTTTCCTTTGATTTTTGAAACTTTTCAAAGTGACATTTTTTTCCTAACAGAATTCAAACTTTGATTTATCCAAGGTCAACGACATTGGATTGCAAAGATATAGGGATTAGAAAATTAGAGTTTGTGGCAATAACTCAATTCCTTTATGAGAATTTTCTATTTTAATTTATAGTTTTCAGAAACTTAAACAAAATTTTTTTCACAGGCTTATAACACCCTCCTTTAGGTTATATTGTTTCAATACCCATTTTACTTAATAAGTGATTTAATTTAAGTTACTATTATAACTATTTACTTTGTAACAATATTAGATACAGTTAATATTAGTCTTTCAAGGTCGTCTTACATTTAAACAGTTTTCTGCTGTATAAAAATGTATAAACAAGGTGGAAATTTTACGACGCAACAACTTTACAACTTTACAATTTTACAACTTGAATTTAATATGTTTGATAAAAAAATGAATTTTAGATCTGAGGCACCTGAGACACCATTCAACTCATTGAAATCAGTTTTCAACCTTCATGCAGTGGATTTTCAATTTATAGGTAAAAGCAATATATGCCAAAAATGCCACTTCAAATTGTTCAAAGATATGTTCTAAAGAAACTGTACGCGCGCAATTTCAAGTAACCCTCCATGCAAAGATGGCAATTTCCGATTGACAAACTTTTTGTTTGGTCAAGTATGAATTTATTAGATTCATGCTGTTAAGTTTATATGAACTGTTTATTATCATTTGTGATTTCTCTTCAAAAGTGGCTTGCGCATTTATTGCTTATTAAAAAAATGGGGTCTGTCCTAGTGAACGATTTTTGGACCCCCCAGGCCCCCCCCCCCTCCTATCAATTTTGTACATGACGAAATTAGTAAATTAGTATTTATTTATTATTATTTAGGTTTAGGTTAGGTTAAGATACTTTCTGGGCCGAGCGCTGCGGCCACGGGTTAGGTTAAGTTGAGACACTTTCTGTAAGATCCATGTACAAAATTGATAGGAGGGGGGGGCCTGGAGGGGGGGTCCAAAAATCGTTCTCTAGGAATATACCAAAAAATTGAAAAACTATCAGAGTTAAACTCTTGACAAGTCAGTCCACAGTTTTTTAACAGATTCTCAACAAACAAAAACCCGTGAAGAACTCAAGATTTTTTTTTTCACATGAGTGACCCGTCAATATCCCGTGATAATTCATGTGTTGTCGAGGTGAATGTCGACGATTTGATCACGGGTCTAGGACCGAGTTTTTACACAGTAAAAACCCGAGTTTATTTCAAAAGATGAACACGGAATTTTTACATGAGAAAATTATTTTTCTTCCATCTACTTGAATTTAATTTTTTTAAACCCCGGGAAAGGGGGGGACAAAAAATTGATAGCTGATATGTAAATATTTTTAAAAATATTCTGTGTCAAAGTATATAATTATTACAAAATGTTTAGAAACTAAACATTTTAATTTATATATTTTACATTACACATCTTGAACATGTAAACTTTAAACTTTTCTTATTACTAAATGATATTTCAAGTCTAAATAATGTTCAATTATGTTAATGTGTTCATAAATGTAAGAATTCTCCTTCCTCTATGTATCTAAAATATTGATATTCCAAAAAGAGGTTGTTGAGAAATACAATACAAAATTCAATGTGAAACTTTTCTATACTCTGCTCATGCTTGTTATAATCTAAAAAATTAATGTCAGTTAAAATATTTCATTTTACTACAATAAACTTTTAGTTTCTAAAAGATGAGCAGAGACACCAAGTGTTGTGATTTTGTAACTCTATTTAAAATGAAACATGAAGTTTTCCCGTGATATCTCAAATATGTTACGCGTGATATTTACAAGAATTAAAATCTAGATATTCTGGTATTCCATTACTCATGATTAACACGTTGGGAATATGCGAGAGCTTGCACTGGTATCTTTGCTACGAGCAAAACATGTGAAAAAAAACTACAAGAATTGAACTACAGAATTATCTCAAATATATTACACGTGATAATTACGAGAATTAAAATCTAAAAATTCTGACATTGCATTACTCGAGTTTAACACGATAGGAATATGCAAGATCTTGCACTGATTTATTTTGCTACGTGTACAACATGTGAAATAACAACGAGAATGTTCAAAGAATATTTTCGCGTTTTTTACCCGGGCTGTACACAGGAGAAATCTTCAAGATTGTGAAAAAAAGATTTACCTCGAGTATAACACAAGGAGGTTCCGTGAATTAATCACGTGAATTATCAACCAGTTCTCCATCATGCTAATCTTGTTGAAAACCTGTGTTTTGTNCCGGATCAGTAAAATCGATGATTTCCAGGAGGTTTTCAGACCAGGCGATATTATTATTTAGGCAAAAATGCTGCTTCTGATAAAGAGGCTGTTGCTGATAATGATGATGCTGATGTTGATGATAAGGAGAAATATGGAGCTGATGCTGATAATGATGATGATGATGATGATGACAATGATGATGATGGAGCTTATGTAGATTTTAACCTTAACTCTGTCAGAGGAATATAATAAAATAAAAAATTTAACCTCCCCCCGGCCCCCCTCCCCTATTTTTTTTATTGATTTCTCCTTGCGCTTACAATTTTATGTTAATGTAGATTACTTTTCATTCTTAATGTATAAAAAAAATCTATGTTATACGCCCTTCATCAAAACAAGGGTATAATGTATTATTTCGCATAAAAGAAATCAAATTTTTAACATAATATTTTAAGTAAAAAAATAAAAAATTATTTTATTTAAAACACAAATAATTAAGTTATAGACAATTATAGTCTATAAGCCATGGTATAATGTATTTTTAAATAATAGAAAACGAACACACTAAAAATTAATTCGTTATGAAATTATTTTCTGAAAATATGAATAAAAACTTGTAAACAATTATTAAAATATGTCTGATACCTGTACATTATTATGTTATAATCATGATAAATAAGAATTCTTAAGTCTTAAAACAATTTATCATAAAGAAAGAGTAACATTTTGTCAAATTCAAGAAAATTTGGTACTTGATTTTAACACTTAGGGACGCAACCTTAGAGACTTTAGAGAGCTATAAGGGTTGAATCGAATTTAATAAACTCCCAAAGCTGAGTGCAATATTTAATATTTATGAATTTTCGAAAATTTTAGTAAGTAACTGACAAAACAATTTGTCTTTTTTTTTATCGAAAAGAGGCACACTCCTCACACACTCCACACCTCCACAGACTCAACACTTCACACACTCTCTACACTCGGCCCACACACTTCAAATTCTCCACTTACTCCCCACACATTTAAAAGTAAAGACATTTTGCCCAATACAAATTGGGTGCGGATAGGAAGCGATAAAGGTAAACGTGCTGCTGCGAAACCCTGTTTGTGAGTCTAATTCCGGGATGAAAGTTTTTGTCTACAAAATGACAACGATTAAATGCAATAGATAAATGCAAAGATTTTAGAACAGGGTGTCCCACGAAAAATGACATTTGATAAATAGTTATTTTTAGTTAAACAAATCTTTTGCTTAATTACTTGAAATCAATTTTGAGATAACATGACTCCCATATAATATTTTTATTGATCTTAGGTATCAAACAACTGAACAAATAATGGAAAAAGACATTTAAACTATTCGTCAACTGTCATGTTTCGTGGGACACCCTGTAATTAAAACAACCGATTCTAAAAACTTACCCACCCAAATTCATAACATTGAAAGTCGACTTTGCACTAAAACTTAATATAATTATACATCGTGGAAAAATTTTTATATGTCTCAAATGAATTCTAATTATAGATTTTCCACAATACTGCGTACTCAGTTCAACCGCCATACATTGCCGGTCACTCCCTTTAAAGATTAATATTTTTTTAATCATTTGATCTTATTCATAATTCTTAACCCAATAGTGAATTATCAATTATCATAAATATATTTATAGTAAGTAAGTTGTAGTTCCGATCAGATATAGTTTGGATGATGTAGCACTGTAATAAGTCGTCTTCGTAAAAATAAGAGTACTAATATTTCTAAAAGTGTACGCAGTGTTCACAACAACCTGACATTTACTTCTCTCTAATTCAGAGCAGGCACAGAGACACGTGTCTGCTTATTTTCTTCTCAAGCTTTTAAAGTGGTATCTAAAGTGATATGGGGAGTACCCCAAGTGCTATAAAGTGCGGCATGAGTGAAGTTCAAGTATCAAAGTGCTTCAATACCCAGTATATGTGGACTTTATCCAAACAAAAGATTTATTTAATGTGATCAAGGTTATTTAGTCAGGAGAGTTAGTGTCTGTTCCACTTCGTTGTTTATAAATTTGGTTGTTACGTTCGAAATCGTTATGGTGCTGTTGATGCCCGATCAGCTGGAGCCGGTGGCGGATATTGCTGATTTACTGCCGATTATTGTCGTTCCCGCCAAAGATCTTTCGCAGGAGTGCTCCCCTGAACCTGGGTCTACTGAGGTAGGATATCTCTTTGTTTTTAATTGGGTATCAGAGTTCGTCCTAGTATACGAATTTTGGACCCAAACCCCGGCCCTCCCCCTCCTATCAATTTTGTACATGACCTTTAATTTTAAGTTATTTTATATTATTTAGGGTTAGGTTAGGTTGGGGGGCTGCAGATATTTGTTAGTATACAACTTACTTGTCTTAGACGATGAAATTAATATGTCATGTTCTAGGACTCGTCAGATTCAGACAGGAGCCAGAAATCGGCTGACGAGGATTCAGCTTCGTCTGATGAGAGTTTAGAATCAGCTGATAATAGCTTAGAATCAGCTGATGAGGCTAGTAAATCCGAAATAAATGCTGGGAATTCCGCAAGTGTTGTTCCAGCTGTTGAAGATGAGATATTTGAAATCATCAATATCCCTGGTAAAGGGACAGGAATGATTGCTCGGAGAAGAATATTCCCAGGAAGCTTTTCAATAATTATAATTTTAAATGTAAGGATTTTGATATTTTGTACCAAGTATAAAGGTATATATTTTGAATTGTTGAAAATATGATATAATAAACTTGTAGCGACAAAATGATCACCCTTTATTCTCCACAAGAACATTTTTTTCTTCGTCAAAATCAGTCATTATCAATTTTAATAATCTTTGCACTCTGTGCTAACATGCCAAGGAATAGAATGATCTTAAACAAATGGGTATTGCTCAGTTTATGCCTCCATAAAAAAATCATATTATGGAAGTGAAATTTGTAGGGTAGATTTTTAAATTTCATTTTCTCATCTTTTTTTTTTGATAAGGTGTACACTTTACATTTAAAGAATAGTTCAGATTATTAAACAATTTTAATTTCCATTGCCCAATATATCTCCCTTGGAACAATTAAAAAATGTTTGCTTTCAGATCTAAGTTCCAGAATTTCTGATAACTTTTTATGTGTCAAACCCACCATTATTAATAAGTCAAGGGTGTTTATTTTGTTGAAAAATAATTTTCATCCCTGACTCCCACGCCCCCTTTTTTCAAATAATTTCCTGCCCCCCCCCCACCCTACCCCCAAAAATTAAAAGGTTTTTTTTTGAGGTTTTATTCTCTAAACTGGGGAAGATAAATAAGTTTTTTGGTACAAATTTATTTTCCAAAGATTTTGCAAAAATCAATAATTTACAAAAATATACACCCCTGAAATTTGTAGCGTTGGTATTGAAAAACTGGGTTCAGGAGAGATAATATTGGCGGAAGAGCCCTTGTTGGTTGTTACAGATGAAATATTTGCATCTACTGAGGATACCGAAGAATATATTTATAACACATTGAATAAACTCGGAGCTGCTAAGACACAACTGGTATGATCTTGCTTATTGAGCTGGGAACTTTTATGTAGTATCTCGATATCCACTGTGGGCATTTTTAATTTGAGGATCAATGCATTATCTCTTCACTTTATTGAATAAAGACTAAATTAATATGCAGATAGACCAAAGATCTAGAAGAACAAGCCTTGATCTCGATATTTATAACACACAAGTTCCCAGCTCTGTATCCTTTAATAACTTGCCAAATGGGATATTTAAGGGAATCAAGACAAAATTCATATAACTCTTCATTTAAAAAAATAAAATGGCATGCTCGATACACAACAGTACCCTTGATAGCTAACTCATCAAGAAGGGTAAAGATATTTTATTTTTACAACCGTGGTTTCTCTAAAAAGTGGCTTATATATATCTGCTTTAGAAACAGAAACATTGGAGGAAATGGTTAGAATTACACACTCTTTAAGCTAGAAAGACGATTTATCTTCAACATTATTGATCAGATAAATGTTCAAAAGGTACTGTTGTGAATCGTGAAATCCCTATTTTATTTAAGGCCACTTTAAGTTCCTTGAAAAATTTGGTTTTCCTATAACTGAGTGTGGAACCCCTGAGGATCCCTCCTATGTTAGTATATTCTATACTAATGATATATATATATATATATGTTTAGTTCCTTGAACTATCTGACTGTAGAACCCCTGAGGATCCCTCCTATGTTGGTATATTCTATACTAATGATATGAACTACGAGGGGGATGCAGGACTGTTTCCAAGGATGTCTCGAGCCAATCATTCTTGCAAGGTGAGTTTTTAATTTGTTTAATTTGTTTAAATTCAGTGCTTAGGATCCATTTAATTTTAATGCGGATCCGGATCCTGGATCCGCACTGGAAAAAATTTATCCGGACCAAGGTTTTTCCTTTAAAATTTACTGAATTTTTTTAACACACCAGAATTTTCAAATTTTTTTTGTATTTTCTTCGCTTATTTTTATGCAAAATTTTTCCAATTTTGACTTTCCACCTAATGTCCAATTTTTCATATTTCCCACAAGAGAGCATAATAATCTATCCTTCTCTGCAATGGAAGGAGGGGGGCAATTATAAAAAATATACACCCCTGAATAGTTTTTTAATATGTGAAAATTTATTAAATCGGAAGTTCAAATTTGCAATTAAAGTTTTTATTTGTTTGTGTTTGTGCAGGCGAACGCTGAGTTTATTTCAAGACGGGACTTGGGTAAGTAACAAATTCGAGCAGATAAAACGAATTTAAATTTATTTAAACATGTTTTTTATCTTTAATAATAATTTATTTTTGGATAAGGATTGTGGGCACAAACTCACGCATGCAAATAAAAACGAAATATCAATAAATCTATTTCCAGTTTGTTATCAAAGTCTTTCTATTATTTTGTTCTGCTCAAGATTAGTTGAAAGTCATACACCCCAACGTTTTGTGTTGCGCCATTGTCTTAAAAACTTGACTATGGGTAACCCTGTAAACCATAGTGAACACTTATTTTGCGCGGGCTGATCTTGCTTCCTTTTTTTTCCTTAGGCTTAACTATTTGGTTTGGTTGATAATATGATTTTTAATAATCGCATGAAGCGTTGATTTGCCAATGACTTGTAGAAAGCTGGATTTTCAAACATAATTGAGTTATGTTCTTTTGTCCTTTTCTCAGTCAGTCATGAAAAGTAAAAAGAAGAAATAAGAAAAAAAAAAATTTTCCTTTCAAGAATTGATTTTGTTTCTTTTGTCTTTTCTCTTCCATCTAACCTTTCCTATCTTTTTTGTTCTCTGTGTTCACTGGCTCCGTAAAAAATTCTCTCTCAAATTCTCCTACTTAACTTTTCCTTACTTACTAGTGCTATCCTTTCTGCACTTTTAATTGGATCAGCCTGTGCAAATGTCATGTTCATCAGTGCCCATCATTAGTCTATTGCTTGACAAAAACACAACACTCCGGCCAGAATATATTCCCCTCAATCCTCTTGCAAAATAAAATAAAAATTTTGAATTGTGTAAATGGAAGAAAAGACATCATTAACTGTTAGGAATTAGTTTTAATTATTATTAGAATAACTGTCATATGTTTAAAAATCTATATACATCAAACACACTAGATTGCAACGAGTATGATGCAAAACTGATAAAGAGAATATCTTTATTTTTTAGAATGGTTTATCGTTTAAGTGTGCTTTTTTTTTGCTTCATGTAATTGTGTTTATACAATAATAAGTGAATAAAAAAGAAATAATAAAGAATTATATTTTTTAATGGAGGTGAAGCAGGAGTATTGTAAGAGAACTCAGAGATACTTAGGAAATGATTTAAGACATTTTACAATGGAGAAAGTTAGAAAGGATGTGTTAGTAGTGTTAGTTTATTATTAATTACTTTGTTGGGATAATTCTTTTAGTTAGACTAATCCTATTTTATCCTACTATAACATACTCACATCCTCTGATTTCATATATTGTCATATTTCTTACTCCTTCATTAATTCCATTTCTTCCCTAGTTCTCTTTTCTTTTTTTTCCGATTTTAATGAGACACAAAGCATATAATTTAACATTTATTAATTTCCATTATATAGATACTTTTCTGATCATAAGATTATATTAGTTGTCCTGATTGTTGAATAAAAAGGAAAGAAGACACAATATTTTCCAATTGGTTGATTAACTAGCTCGCTAGATCTCTTAACTAGCTATTTGTTTCCTTTTCTGAGCCATAAGCATTCTCCACACCTGATAACTAGGAGGATAGCTACTCCAGTAAGAGCGATGATTTCGATTCCATTATAACCTGCAGGAAGGAAGGAGTTCTGCGTAGTAGAAGGAGAGATAATGTTTATTAGCTGTTCCATTGATTTCAGATGTTCCTTCTGGGAGGAGAAATCTATCTTCTTACCATGTTTCTCAGAGGCTTTTATCTCTTCCATTTCCTGTTTCCTTTCTTCATCTTGCAGCACAATTTCCAATCCCTGGATCTGAAAAACTAGAGTCAGGGTGCGGGGTTTCAAATTGACATTGAATGTCAACGCCGGTTTCTGTTGTTAGGAACCCTTTAATCACTGATCTTGCATTGAAGTCGCTCTTTGTTCTGCAGTTGGTTTTGAGTTCTTCGTTTGTTGCTTCACATTGCCTATGTGATTGTTGGTTAGTAGTTCTGACGCTTAATGTTACATTTTTCATTCCTCGTGCTGTCAGGATATTTTTATGTCTGATTGCTCTTCCAACACATCTCAGATCTGACGTCCACATGCATTCTATAATGGCTTGCTGATCGTTTTTTTGCATGATGGTGAGGAGCTGACCTATTTGTACCGTTTGATGGTTTAGAAACTTAGCCTTAATTCGCTTCGTCTTGATGAGGTTGAATTCAAGTTTTACTAAGGAGTCATGTGATTTTGTACAACCATGAGGTCTGATAGCTTGATCTTGGTTAAGCCCTATTCCATATCTGCTCACTACTTTTATTATTTCGTTTGGCATTGTTCCAGTGTAGCTGTAGAAAGCTTCTTCAGCTTCGTTCAAGAGCTTGTCCGTCTCATCAGCCATCAGAACCAGGGTAGCTTCCTTCATTTGTTTGTACAGGAGCCCAGAAAGCTCCTGATTTCTTTCACTGAGGCTCTCTTCCCCTTCCATCAGAGATTCGATGTTCCTTGTGAAGGAGGATTCATGTGAAATTAGAAATGACATCATTTGCTGAGTCCTTTTGATTTCTCCTTTCGCAATCTGTAAATCTCCTTCAGTGGCGACTCCGAAGAGTGATGAGACAAAAGTAGATCTTCTTGCTCGTTCATTTTGTTCTTGGGTTACTGATTTATTGTCACACTGTAGATAAAAAATCTGCTGTTTTAGAATCCTGAGTCTGTGCTGCATTTTCTGTATCTGTGGCTGATGATGATCATAATGTATACTAGAGAGCTTTGACGCCACTTGAAGTCCTTGTACTTCTCGCTCAATAGTACCATAGTCAAGCGTTACGATAACTTTCTCGATGGTATCTACCATTGGAATCTCAACAATCTTTGGTATTGCATGCTTTTCTCCACGAAGAATGTCAGTGTTGTGTTTCCAATTCACTGCCATTCCGTTGGAATCGTTGTTGTGCATGATTACAATAAATGCAGTAATGACTGCATTTGTTATTGTTCTTCTCTCCATGTTTAGTGAGCTACTGAGCGGTGTGGCTTTCTCTGCTCTGCACGGTATGATTAATCTTTACTCTATATCATTCTTATGAATAATGTATTCACGGTCAAGACTATTCCTCGGTATAATCATGGTGTAGTTTTAATTTGTTTAGGCTCTTCCGTCATTTGCTTCAATTAGTTTTTCGCAAAAGCTGATGTCTCTTGAGTTTGCTTCTCTGAATTTTTTTATTTGGACCATGCTTTTTCTGAGATGAGCATTTCTCCTGATGGCTTCATAAGTTTGTCTCTCGTTGCTTCTAGATGAATAGATTTGTTTTTTGACTTCTTGAATGATTTCTGACAGTTGTTCATTCTCCAAGTGCGTTAAGAGTGGGATTTCCTTCATGTAGATGATGTTTTCCTGTGTTATATTTATTACTCCTGGGTTTGACTTTGTTTCTTGGACAATGAATTGGAGGTTTTCCCATATCTTGTATGCATATTCATCACAATCTAAAAATAGATGTTCAACTGTTTCAACTTGATCACATTTTTCACATTTGTTGTTGTCTTCCTTTCCAGACTTGAATGCTTTTGATTTTGTCCATGTAGTCCTGTTCAGAATAGAAAGGTTAAGAGCTTTCTGATATTCTGAGAAGTTGGATTTGTAGTTCTTCTTGTATGCTTGATTGTAAACTTCTTTGTCTGGAATATTAATTCCATCTCTGATTCTTGTTTGTCTAGACGGAGCAGTGTCCCATTTGTGTTCTTGTTTCCTTTTTTCTTTGTCTTTCATGTACTTTGATAATGTGATCTTTTTTTCAATAAGTATTGCTTCTAGATGATTCTTGGTAAGGGGGGCATTCCTGAATTCTCTTCTCTTGTTCTTGATATTCTTGATAATATTAGTGATCTTCATTTGTATGTTTTGATTCGGTATGTTGATTGTGACTGTTTTCTCGAATGATCTCGGCTCATCCGTTAAGAATAGTTGGCTGACGGTCGTGAATCCTGCTCTTTTGAGTTCGAGTCTTTCAACCCTTGTGAGAGCAAATGGGTGATCATAGACAGATCCTCCGATGGCTGATGCTTCCCATGTGTCTTGATTTTCTTCCCATTCCTCAGTTATCTCAGCTAGCTGTGCTATTGTGTCTGTGTATATTCTTGCCAGGTCGGTTTTTCTTTTGCTCAGATCTTTGAGTTTTCTTGACCCCATTGTTAGTAGATCATCTGCTTGCATGACATCGTTTTCCAGGAGTCTATTGAAGTTTTTTATTATCATTTTTGGTGATTCTTCATCGTAAAATTTCCTAATGTGTCTAATTCCTGAATCAAAGTACAGACATTCGGCTTTTATTCTAGTTTTTCTCATGTTTAATCCTCCCACTCTAATCGGAGCATGTGTCCTTTCTTTGGCAATTTGATGTCTACCTTCCACGTATGCATCCTCATTATTTTTTTTCTTCCACAAGGCTTTGTAGATGATTTCTTGTATCTCTTCAAGGTGACTTTTGGACAGTTTCAGACTCATTATAATGTGATTAGTTTGGCTGTGTAGAATTGCTTCAATTAAACATGTAGAAATAATCAGCATCCAGCTTTTTTACGATTTTAATGGTAACTGGATCCAGATCCATTTTTATCAATACAAATGGATCCATCCGGGATCCGGATTTAAATTTATTAAAAATCCACAAATCAAGGATCAGGATAAAATTCAAGATCCAGATTCCTTGCCATTAAATTATTACGATTCAGAATCCGGATCCACTTTTATTTAAATCAATCAGTACACATCCAGGATCCGGATCCACTTTTATTTAAATCAATCAGTACAAATCTAGGATCCGGATCCTCTTTTATTTAAATCAATCAGTACAAATCCAGGATCCGGATCCACTTTTATTTAATCAGTAATCAGTACGAATCTAGGATCCGGATCCACTTTTATTTAATTAGTAATTAGTACAAATCCAGGATCTGGATCTGCTTTTATTTAAATCAGTAATCAAGACTAATCCAGGATCTGGATCCACTTTTGTTTAATAAGTTATCAGTACAAATCCAGGATCCGGATCCACTTTTGTTTAATAAGTAATCCGTACAAATCTAAGATACTAATCCACTTTTGTTTAATCAGTAATCATTACAAATCCAGGATCCGGATCCACTTTTGTTTTAATAAGTAATCAGTACAAATCCAGGATCCGGTTCCACTTTTGTTTTAATAAGTAATCGGTACAAATCCAGGATCCGGATTCACTTTTGTTTAATAAGTAATCCTTACAAATCTAAGATACTAATCCACTTTTGTTTAATCAGTAATCATTACAAATCCAGGATCCGGATCCACTTTTGTTTAATAAGTAATCAGTACAAATCCAGGATTCGGTTCCACTTTTGTTTTAATCAGTTATCAGTACAAATCCAGGATCCGGATCCACTTTTATTTAATCAGTACAAATCCAGGATCCGGATCCACTTTTATTTAATCAGTTATCAGTACAAATCCAGGATCCGTATCTTTTTTATTTAATCAGTAATCAGTAGAAATCCAGGATCCGTATCCACTTTTATTTAATCAGTAGTCAACACAAGCCCAAGATCAGGATGAAATTTAATCTGAAATTCAGGACCCGGATCCCTTGCCATTAAATTATTACGAATCAGAATACAGATCCACTTGCATCATACAAATCCAGGATCTGGATCCTTTTTCATTTAAATCAGTTATCAGTAGAAATCCAGGATCCGTATCCACTGAAATTTAAATCAGTAATCAGTACACAAATTAATTTATTAGTATATCCCATGATTTATAGGATATTATTTTTTTCCTTCCCCAAAGAAATAGTTATTTTTTACTAAAACTATTCAGAAACTAGACAGCCTTAAATAATATTTCCTTAGTTATTATTTAAGAAAGCATATGCCCGTTTCCAAAAAAAAAATTGCAATTGAAACAATTAAGAAAAAATTGGGCTGTGTGATGCATTTAAGCAGAACTCATTCCTGTCTACTATCTTGTTAAAAGTTTGAAATTATTAGGCTCGTATAAAAGTCGTAAATGACGAAATTGTGTAAGTTTGCAAATTTACACTGGTTTACAGTTTACAGCGCTGTATCTGTTACATATTAATCCTTTATTAACTTCCCTGCAACACATTTTGGTAGGAAGCCAACAATTTAATTCAATAGTTTTACCACTATTCGTAGATTTCCAGGGGTTTACATGTTTCTCCTCTTTTGTCACTTTTTACATGCCCAAATGTGCATTTCTCATTATTTCAGCGATAAAATTCACGTTTTTCACCCATTTTTTGTTTCTATTTTTATATTTGAGGATGCTGTGGCTTATTTATTTTATATTTTATAATTATTAGGAGTTCAGAGATTGGTGGCCAACTACCCTATAGAACAGGGAGAAGAGGTAGTTATTTATCCAATAACGAAAAGAAAAAAGAGATAGTATTCATNGATAGTACATCAATTAGTAAGTTTTATCATCCTTTGAAACTTAACACACTTAACATTCATTTTTTTTTTCAATACAATTTTTTTCTTCTCAAATTCACTTTTTCCCCATTAAAATTATTCATTTTCTCAACTTCAGCGAGTAAAACTTAAATTCCAAATCTTAAAACCTAACATCTTGGGGGAATATCACTCTTAAAGTAATAAACAATTTGCTTATTACGAAAATGACTCCACAGAGAAGAGGGAAGAAACTCGTAAAGCTAAAGGGCCGATATTCTATTTCAACCTTAATTGTGGCTTTATCAATGAGCATCTTCTCTTTGTACAGTATAAAACATGAACAAAAAAGTTTGCGGATTTCTAAATATTTTTGCGTAATTGCAAAATTTTACAAAAAAAAACTTAAAAACAAATTTTTGAAATTTGGATCATAATAAACCTTCCCTGGGGTCACGCGAGGTCCCACACAAAACAAACAAACAGACACCCAAACAAAGTATTTATATATATATTTAGCTTGTCCAGGAGGTGTCTGTTTGTGTGGGTGTCTGTTTGTCTGTATCCAATAAACGTCAAAACGGCTGAACCGATCGAGCCCAAATTTTGTGTGGGACCTCACGTGACCCCAGGGAAAGATGCATGAATGATCAAAAATTGAAAACTTTGTGTTCAAAAGTTTTTTTTCTAAAATTTTGAAAAAGCGCGAAAAAATGTTATGAAATCCGCGTACTTCTTTTTGTTTTTGTTTTATACTGTACAAAGAGAAGATGCTCACTGATAAAGCCACATTTAAAAGTGGAAATAGAAGATGGGCGCGAAGTGCCTTAAAAGCCTAGTATATATAGATGTGAGATATCCGGTTCACAACGGTGTCCTTAAAAGCTTTATCTGATCACGAATGCTTGAGATTCATAATTTTCACTTCTTAACCGGTTTGAGCCGCGGCTCAAAATCTTTAAATTCGGTCTCTGGTTCTCTAAAAAGAGGACTGTGAATTGGTCATTCCTCTCTTTTTAATAAAAGTTCTTTTTAAATTTTCAGAGTTTAGTTTATATTTTCTTTGTTGATTAACAAATTAGTAAACTCTTTATTTTAAATTAGAATTAACTTTTCATAAAAACATACTTGTCACTTATTAAATAATATCTTATAATTAACCCCCCTCCCCTCTTGATAGCTCTAAGCCAGGACTTTTATTCAAGTAAACTAAGTCTCAATTTAAAATGTAAACAAGAAATAATGTGTTTGTATCTAAGCCGGGGTACTGCAGTATTTATTTTAAACCCTCCCTTGGGTGTTACCCTCTCAATAGTTAAGAAAACAATACGCTTTCTTTCCTTCTTAGTTCACAACATTTTTAATCAAATTTTCTTGTTAAAACAGAAAGAAAACTAGTGCGCTTTTTGGACGCATTGAACCCCTCCTTGTACTTTTAACAACTGCGGATATTTTCCTTTTGTTCCTTGTTCAGCATTACTAATTTTAGACTTCGCAGATTTCTTCTATTTTCTTTTGTCAGATTTCCATAGTTAAAATTGTCTAATCCTGACTTTCCACATCATTCCAGATTTTTAGTTTTATATCCTCGATCTCTTAAGTTTTTTAACTTTTAATTTTTTCTTAAATTTTGAATATTAACATGTTCAGATCACAATCAACTATATGCCTATATCTGAAGAGGGCTCGGAACTAAGGTTAGTTACATCTTGATTAATTTTATGGATTCCTAACAAGGCTTTTTGGTCAGTCACAAGTTTTTATACCTGAGCTAGGAACTGTTGTACTGTGGATATCGAAATCAATTATCGAGATCAAAGATTTTTTTAATTTGCAGAAGTATATCGAAATCAAGCTATCGGGATTTTAGGTATTCATCATAAAAGTTCCCTTCTCGAAAGGTTTAATTCATAATTTTAAAGTGGACTCCATAGTCAAAGACATCCGGTTCAAATGAATTCCTCTTCTTCTATTATACCATTTTTATATTAGATTTCACTGTTAACGCAGGTTGTTTAACAACAATAGCTTTGGTTTGAATTATATTTGAGACATGGAAATAGATCATCTGTTTTTATTAAAAGTTAATGATATTTTGTAGATGTACTAAAACTTAAAATAGTCATATTTAAAATGGGCTAAATATTTATATACCTTTACTAGTTTCGTCAATCAGCTCTAGGTTCATTTTGATTTCATTTTTCTTCATATCCTTTTTAATTTAACAACTTTTGTAATCTTTTTTAATATTACTTTTCCTGGGAATTAATTTCATCTTGTGAATTGATGTTTTAAGGATTCAATATTCATTATCAAAATTAATATCATTCAGCTCGAATTAAATCTAGGGTTAAAAGTGGATTATTTTCAAGTTAACAAGAGCTATGCAATTATAAATAACATTAAGGATTTAGCTCGTTACATTGTCTTATTAATTTAAACTTCTCGTTTTAGTATTGAGGGGTCCATACAAGATTGTTTTTGAATCACAAGACCAGATTTACCATTCAAAGTTCAAACCTACATATCTAAGAACAGTTGACACCAATCCTATTTTCTTAAAGATTAAAGTTTTTTGGAGACATTGTAATTTTTTTTGACAAAAGCTATTTCAATGACAACTTGTTTTTAGGGATTCTCGGCGTGCATATCTGCGTGAATGGTATGGATTCCAGTGTGCTTGTTCAGAATGCACATTAGAGGTAATGGAGGATTGGGGACCAGGAATCGAATTTTATGAATTTGAGTTAAGTCGCTGATCCAGGGATCGAATTTAATGAATTTAAGCTAGGTCGCTGAATGACCTTCCGTCGATTCAAATGCTGCCTTAAATAAATGTAATTTTTAAAGAATTTAACCAAAATTTAAATTTATGAATTTTTAGATAGAAAAGAGAGGATATTTTTATAATTTGTGCCAGTTAAAGGATTTACCAACTTGATTCTGGCATGTCTCTCTTTAAATGCCCTATGACATTGAATTACAACGACATTGTCTCTTTAATCATTATTTTATAATATCCTTAATTAAGGATGATATTAAGGGTTCTGAGTTTGATGAGAATGAGAAGATAAGAGAAGAGATAAAGGAACTTCAAGCTGCAGGGATAGAAAACCTAGATCCAGAGGAACTAGAAACCTTGATTACTAGGTAGGAACCTTGATAACTAGGTAGGAACCTTGATAACTAGGTAGAAACCTTGATTACTAGGTAGGAACCTTGATTAGAAGGTAGATATCTTCATTACTAGGTAGGAACCTTGATTACTTGGTAGGAACCTTGATTACTAGGTAGGAGCCTTGATAACTAGGTAGGAACCTTGATTACTAGGTAGGAACCGTGATTACTAGGTAGGAACCTTAATAACTAGGTAGGAACCTTAATTACTAGGTAGGAACCTTAATTACTAGGTAAGAACCTTAATTACTAGGTAGGAACCTTAATTACTAGGTAGGAACCTTAATTACTAGGTAGGAACCTTAATTACTAGGAACCTTGATTACCAGGTAGGAACCTTAATTACTAGGTAGGAACCTTGATAACTTTGTAGGAACCTTAATTATTAGGTAGGAATCTTGATTACTAGGTAGAAACCTTTATAAATAACTAGGTAGGAACCTTAATTATTAGGTAGGAATCTTGATTACTAGGTAGGAACCTTTATAAATAACTAGGTAGAAACCGTGATTACTATGTAGGAACCTTGATAACTAGGTAGGAACCTTAATTATTAGGTAGGAATCTTGATTACTAGGTAGGAACCTTTATAAATAACTAGGTAGAAACCGTGATTACTAGGTAGGAACCTTAATTACTAGGTAGGAACCTTAATTACTAGGTAGAAACCTTGATTTCTAGGTAGAAACCTTCATTACTAATAGGTAAGAACCAGTATCATTACTAATAGTTAATAACCAGTATAGAACGCTATGACCAAAGTAATTAGACATCTTAATACCAATGGGATATTCCTACTTTCATCTTTACCTGTTTTACCCCAGTCATATAAAGGAACTAGCACTGCCACTGAACATGATATAATGAATGCAGTGATTTGAGTCGCATAAGCAGTAAGCATGGTGCATTTAGCTGAAAGTGAGAAGAAAAAAATCCGTTTAAAGGAAGCAATTAGCCCATAACAAACAATTGACTTGATGGTTGAAAAGATTTGTATCCCTTCATCCCGAAAGATTAATAAATCTATTTTGTATTTAGGCTGTATTCGATTAATGGAAAGCTTTCTTACGTAATGGACCTTATGGATTTAATCTACAAGTAAGTGAATAGCATTTATCAATCTAAAGCTTTGAACTTTTGAACGGAACTAGTTTTAATTTCTGTAATTTCTACCTTATATATTTTCTACGATTTCTACACATTCCGCAATATCCAATTTCTCCAACTTCTACGATTTCCACAATTTCCGCAAATTCTACAACTTTTTTAATTTCATTCAATTTTTACAAGGTCTGTAATTTCTACATTTTCTTACTTTGTTTTCTTCACAATATCTACGCGCAATTTCTTCAATTTTTACCATTTCTGCAATATCTACAATTTCAACAATTTCTGCAATTTTTACAATTTCTACAAATTCAGTCATTTGTTACAATGTCTTTAATTTCTACAACTTCGATAATTTCTACAAATTTCAGAATTTCTGATATTTCTGTCTTTTTCCAATTTCCAATTTCCAAATTTCTACATTTTAATTATTCCCACAATTTCTTCAATGTCCATTATTTCAACCAGTGAGAGAGAAGAGAAAATCGGGATATCAAGAAATCAAATAAACCTTCTGTAAAATTTATAAGTGCTCACTGTGGATATCCAGAGCCACTGTGAAAATCGAAATTCATTGTGAATATCGAAATCCTCTGTGAATATCGATATTCACTGTGAATATCGATATTCACTGTGAATATCGAAATACTCTGTGAATATCGAAATCCTCTGTGAATATCGAAATCCTCTGTGAATATCGAGATTCACTGTGAATATCGAAATACTCTGTGAATATCGAAATCCTCTGTGAATATCGAAATTCACTGTGAATATCGAGATTCACTGTGAATATCGAAATCCTCTGTGAATATCAAGATTCACTGTGAATATCATTCACTGTGAATATCGAAATCCTCTGTGAATATCAAGATTCACTGTGAATATCAAGATTCACTGTGAATATCGAAATCCTCTGTGAATATCGAGATTCACTGTGAATATCAAGATTCACTGTGAATATCGAAATCCTCTGTGTATATCAAGATTCACTGTGAATATCGAGATTCACAGTGAATATCGAAATCCTCTGTGAATATCAAGATTCACTGTGAATATCGAAATCCTCTGTGAATATCGAGATTCACTGAGAATATCGAGATTCACTGTGAATATCAAGATTCACTGTGAATATCGAAATCCTCTGTGAATATCGAGATTCACTGTAAATATCGAAATCCTCTGTGGATATCGAGATCAAAGGATTGGGATAATAAGTTGTCACCTCAGTTTGATTTTTAAATATATGTTTAGAAAGACTGAAGGATGTGTGGAGAGATATTTCCAATGTATCCGTGGTCTAACTCTAGCTATCCAGGGAAGGACACAACTTTTTATTTATTCTTGAAAAGGACTGTGAGCGTAATTACAACTGACCCTCCATGCTATTAGATGTTAATGTCCGATTCACAACAGTACCCTTGAAATCTTTGTGAAAGATATTGTTTTTTTTTCTAGGTTTAAAAGTTTCTAATTCAGATAATTGGAAACATAATTTCATACTTGATCTTTCAGCTTTTATTGGGGTGGTTGAGAATTCATCTTTACATGGATGGTCTCTGGAAATTCCGCTGTTCCTATAAGAACAGATCAAACTAACTTTATAATTCAATAAAATATTGATATAAACACGCTTTATCTAACTCTTAAAAATTAAAGAAAAAGTGGGGTTGCTTGGGAAAGAAAAATGAACTATCTAGATGTTTATTTAGTTCTTAATCTCAAGGTTCAGTTTGGTCCTAGCTATGCCTTAAATAATGTCATTAAATGATATCTTGTTCTTTCTTTTTGACTGTGTGCTGGATTTAAAAAAAAAAAAATATTCTACAATGTACACCCTTAATTCTTTCCTATTTTTACTTCTTGCTCTTCTATTTTATCTATAATTTCTCCTCCTCGAGTTAAGAATATTTTTTACGAGTTGTTAAGTTTAAATTTTAAATTAGATGGAAAAAAATAATCCGTTTAATTTTACGTTGCTATTTCGGAGTAACCATTTTTATGTTAATCAAACTTTAGCTTAACTATCATGTTTTGGTAATTTTATCTCCTAATTAAATAAGTTTGAAAACTAGTAGTAAAACAAGAACAATCGTCTAATCCTATCTGACTTTAACGTTGAGAAAAGAGAAGCAATGTAGATCAAAGTTCAGAAATAAATGACCAACATTGAACAAACCTAATGGGGTCTTATTTTTTTCTACAAAAAAATGAAGAATCAATGAATGTGTGTACCCTTGTGCAAAATAAGAATCCCAGTTGCAACTTATGACTTATGCATTTGCACTTCAGTAATTTTATTGAATGTTTTCCAAGAAACTCGCAAATATTTGTCTCATAATAAAAGAAAAGTGGATGGGGGCCCCATTGGAGGGGGGGGGGTAATGTTTTTTTTACGTTTACCCAGTTTTTCCTTTAATTTACAACTTCTTATCGTACTAATAATAATACGCAGTAATTTTGAGCTACTGTCAGAAACACCTAGATTTTTGGCGTAAAATTATAATCCCATAATGATTGTTTCCCCCTCCCCGCCCCAAAAAAAAAGAAAAATTCCACGATAAAAACAGCTTGAAAGAATCAGGTTGTAGTAGATTTTTAAAGAAATGTAACACTTCTAACACTTTTTCTTCCGAATCATATTTTTTTTCAAATCATGCTTTTGATCTAGTAAATGATTAAACATTAAACAAGTTGACCGTTGGTGTGATTAGTTGTACGGAGATGACTCTACGTGGAACGAGCACTGGAGGTACAGGATCCATGATGATCTGCTCCATCATGCCGAACTTGCAGGGGATAGAGCTGATTGGAGGAAACTAGAGAGACTTATTGACATTGTAGTTGTTGAACAGCAAAATAAATAGTTTCAAATAATTCTCCATAAAACGATGACAATGTCCGATTCACAACGTTTCCCTTGAAACCATCTGATTAATAATTTGGAAGCTATTGACGTTTTTCTAGGTTTAAAGGTATTTAATTCGGAAAATTTCTGTATGTTCTCCTGCAGTAGAAATGTGCAAGTCACTTTTGTAGAGCAATCCCAATTGAAAATATCCAGCTTTTAAAATTACAGACATTGATATCTAATTCATACTTGATCAGATAACACTTTTAGGGTACCATGGTGAATCAGGCATTGATAGCTTTACATGGAGGGTCACTTGAAATTACGATTACAGTCGCCTTTAAAGGGATTGTTCATCGTGAATCATCAATGATTTCAATATCATCTCTTCATTCGATAATATATTTTTTCATTATACATTCTACGACTCGTTCAGCTGCTGAGTTTTCTGCTTTCAAGATAGCGCTTAAAGTACTGTAGATAAGATATAAATTTCAATAGAGTGGTATGTTTAATATACAACGGTTCCTTTGAAAATTTTACTTCAAGAATGAATGATATAAAAAGTTTAAAGGTTATTATTGTTATTGTGGTATGTCCCTCTTTAAATGGAAGGTCACTTGAAATTACAATGATAGTCACTTTAAGTGGAAGGTAACTTGAAATTACAATGATAGTCCATTTAAATGGAAGGTCACTTGAAATTACAATGATAGTCCCTTTAAAGGCACGGTTGTAAGTTGTTAATGGTACACTTAGGAAAACTTTGAAAACGTTATAATATCACATCAAGCACGAACATTTTAGCTAGCATCGAAAGATCTATTTTTATACAGATTGAGTTTAGAGCCAATACTTATACCTTTTATTAAAAAAGTAAAAGAACCTCAATGTAACATGTCCGGCGTGCTAGCAAAAACAATAATTGTTAAAAGTTAGTCTTCATAAATTGCTGATGAATTTGTTAGTTAAATGTTTGTAGTTGGTGGCGGATTTTTTACGGACTATACATCTTTTTTAAAGAACTAGAAGATATTATTTCAACATATGGTTTAAAGTAAGGCAGTAACTTTCAACATAAATATTAAGCTCTTTAAAAATTTGATATTGATTTGAATTATTTTTTCGAAGGATTAACTGATTTAAGAGTTTTATGTCAAGTTACAAAAGAGAAGTTCTTATTGGATACTAATAAAAGATCGCTCAATCTTGATATCCACTGTGGGTACTTTTAATTTGAAATCTAAAAATTTATTAAAAGCTATCCCTTTCCATATCTTTTTATTTATTCCTCCCCTGGGTACTGGGTAGAATTTCCATGCGGGATATCAAATAAACATTTAATTAATCCACAGATTAACAAAAGATTAAGATCAAGCATTGATATCGGTATTCACAATACAAGAGTTTTCAGTTCTGAACACGCATGTCTGATGATAGACTAAGAACATCAACTAAGAAATTTACCTCTGTTATCCCATGTGTGTGATCTGTAATTCATTTATCACAAGATTGATTAATTATTAAATGTAGTTCAATTGACTTAAAAAATATTGAAATATAGTTTGTAAATTAACGTTGTAATGTAATTATTTCAATGCTGTATTTTTCTTCACAAATCAACCGTCCATTATATGTCGACTTTTTATATTAATGAATCCTGCGTAAACTTTATTAATATATAAACAGGTGTTTGTTATTTTTGACATTTATTTTTTTAAATCCATAGGTTATTCAGAATAAATGTTTCGATTCGAATGACTGGTTTATTTATTGTTAAATTTGCAGAGATCATTTTTTTACTAGCCGATTTTTTTGCTTTTTTTTCCTTTTTGGGGGAAAAGTTCTAAATATTTTAATTAATCTTAACCTAGAAAATAAACCTTTTCGCCAACTTCATGAAGAACGCCCCGAAATCAATTTAAAATAAGAAGATAAAATTTTTCATTTGTTCAGTTATTGATTTAGGAAAGACATGAAGTGCGCAAGGAAAACATGATTAAATTCTTATTTTTTTCCATGATTTTTTTTCTCGAGAAACTCGAGAATGGCCAAGAATGTAATGCAAGGAAAGTTAGTTGCAGTTGTGTGTACTCTGCGTACATATTGAAACCAGTTCTCTCTGGGCGGAATTTGTAAACAAGAATAGATGCATCAGTGTTCGTTTAGTATCCGAGGATACTAAATAAATTAAATTTTGATAATTCACATAATATGAGTGAAAAGAATATTTGATTGATTTTTTTATGTGAAAGATGGATCCCACGTCAGGCGTCGACATCCGTCTTGTGTTTACATTACCGCCCAGTGACAGTACACTGCAGCACAAAAGATTCGTATACCTCTGAAATAACTTACCTTGCATTAAATCCTTGAGAATGACCATTCTAGTGATAGGTAATAAACCAACGGAAGTTATAATCCTGGAAACGTAATTATAATTTGACTTGCTGAGGTTTTTGTTATCGATTATGGATGTTCATATCTGCAGACAGACAATATATAGAACTAGATCAGGAACCCAGCGTTGCCCAAGGCACTTTTAGTTACTACTTACTCCAGATGTATACACAAGCGCTCTCGTAAATTACTTCTTAGCTACTCAACTTAAAATCTCGAAACCAAGATAGGAACATTTCTGCAGGCTCTTTAAGAGTTCCCAAATCAAAATTTGTGGCAAATCGGTCCAGGGCTTCCTGAGTTAATATCTAAGATGCAAATGAACTTCTGGTCAGTTCCTTCACTGTTTTAGAAATGTATATAATATAAAATAAAAAGTAGATTTCTTTCCTGGATTTTGCAAAAAAAAATACAATCTGCAAATTTGCAAATTTGTTTGCAGAATCTAAAAGTAGAGTATAAGAGTTTTCCAATGATATGCATCATTTGTCATATTTGGACATCGTGGGGGGGGGGGGTTAAATTGACCCCCCTGAGTGTATTCTGGTTTATAGTGCCCCAGCAGGGATAGGAATAAATTTAAGAATAATCTTCATAATTCTATATGTTTACAATTATTACAATAAATGTTATGTTTGAGAAGAAAAAAATATACACAATTAACTTACAATGTTTATAAATCATGTAAAAATATTCATAAAAATATACCCCCCTGCAGTTTAAGTATGTCTAAGCCTGGGGTCATAAATAATAACAACATGATATAAAAGTATTAAGACAGTATTATTATTAATAATTAACCCATGTGTCTATATTTAGTGATATGGGTTTTTTACAGAATAGAAAGATATTTGAAGCTTAAATGATATGTAGACGTAATTCCAAGTGATTTCACTTATTGAGTGAACTGTCGGATTCACGAAAATGCCCTTTAACGCGTTTTTGTTTGGTTTTATCATACTACTACTCTTAACATGCATTTGTCTATGTGTTTCATGATGAGAATGGACAAAAGGAATATATTCTGATTATCCTTTTATTTACAAATATTGGCTCAATTGTAGCTTGCATTGGTTTATAATGATTTTAACTTTTAAGTACTTTTCCAGTTCGTACATTTATCCTTGAATGGATACTGTAACCCTGCTATATAAGTGCGTAAACTGTATAGATGTTATAGTGTAGGAGATGTAAAGATTGCAAAAAATCGTATTTAATAGCCTTTTTACACAAAATTACAACGGATTTAGGGTAATCTAAATATATAAGTATTATTAAGAGATTTGGGGGTGCGCTCAAGTATTTGTTTCGTCCACATTTGTTTTCACGGGAATTACTAGTTTTCCCCTCTGATTCCAGAACTTCTGCAGCTTGAATATACAGTGATAAACACAAAGTTTTGGATAGGAAGTCGACTTTTATACCCAAGTTCCGACTGTAAAATTTCTCTTAATGAGTGGTTTAATAAGTTACTAGTAAAGATATTTCACTTGCAACAACATCAAATACACTTTAGATTGCTTTCCTGTCGTCTTCCTATTCTACTGTAGTCTTTTCATGACTTTATAAATGATTTGGTAAAGAAAGGAACAAGTTTACAGTTGGAGGGAATTATTAACATTATGACACAGATGTACAGATGTACATTCTGTACTGTCGTCTCTGAAGTCTCATTCTTTGTTGGTAACACTGTTTATTATCCAGTATTTACCCCAAATAGATAAAACTGAGATGGAAGGAAAACAAAATGGCTAAAACAATGATTTCGTAAATGGATTCCAATCCCTAACCTCGTGCAATTACTGGGTAATATACAGCAGAGCACATGGCAAAAAATCGCCTTTTTTAATATTCATTTTTGTTTAAAGACTATATAAAAGGTTTTTGTTAAGAAAGGGAGGGGAAGGGGGGGGGGTCAGCCGTGGGTGATATTTTTGTAATCATCCTGTTGTTTTCTGTTTACTATTTGAGTTTACAGGCTGTATTGTATTGTAGGATCAAGGTTTATTTTATTCTGGCATGGCTGGCTAACGTGGCACGTGTTTGGGAGAATATATGCACTCTCGGACACGTGCAATTTTTCATCAAACTATTGCAAGTTTTGTTTTAAATATTAATTTAAATCTTCTAACAGAATAAATGTTTTAAACATTTTATCAAATTTTTTATTGAAAAGAAATGTTGTTGTTCTTTAGAATACTAGTTTGGGAACCCAGCTTTGCCTGGAAACTAAAGTCAACCTAAGCTAAGAACATTCCTGTAGTTCTATCGAGTCTCATGATCAAATTTTGAGGCAAATCGGTCTATGGGTTCCGGTCTCCAGAGTTATGATCGGACATATAAAAACATATAAATATTTAATATGAAAATTAGTTAGAGTGGGACCATTTGTCACTTTTTTGAAATATAATTTATATTATTATTAATCCCAGGGTTATTATTATTATTATCATTATTATTATTATCATCATCATTATTATCATTATTATTATTATTATTATTATTATTATTATTATTATTATTATTATTATCATCATTTTAGGTTTAGGTTTAGGTTTAGGTTTAGGTTTAGGTTTAGGTTTAGGTTTTGGTTTTATTATTATTATTATTATTATTATTATTATCAAGTTGCTAAAATCTACATAAAGATTAGAAAACTATGGGTTTTACAAGAGTAATCAGTTCTTTTCTTCAGAGTTTAAATATTTATAAAATAATAAGATTGAATAAATGATAATAACCCAGAAAAGTCACAACTTAATTGCTATAATTACTGGTATAATTGCGTTATTTTATTTAATAATTGTCATATGTTTTTCTTGCCTTATCTATTTTCAAATTAGTGTAAACTTCATTTACAACGTAAATCCTTTAAAACATTTTTAAAAATGTGTCCACTCCAAACTCAGTTGTCACCCCCCCCCCCATGTAGCCAATGATTTTCCTGTTTACTGTATCCCCCTCTAAACAAAAGTTAGTGTAGAGATTTAGTTCTTGTGGATAAACTGGTTAACACTATAAAAGAGGATGAAAGAATCTGCTGTAGAATCTCGAGTTTTAACAATATTTACGGTTTTTCCACAAAACTCGGAATCCAATGTTTTTCGGCTTAATTCT